AAGAGGATTATATCAAATACAAAACTGTGATTATAAGAAGATTATATCAAACATAAAACTGTGATTATAAGAAGATTATATCAAATACAAAATCGCGATTATAAGAGGATTATATCTAACATAAAACTGTGATTATGAAAAGATTATATCAAATACAAAATCGTGATTATAAGAGGATTATATCAAACACAAAACAGTGATTATAAGAGGATTTTATCAAACATAAAACTGTGATTATAAGAAGATTATATCAAATACAAAATCGTGATTATAAGAGGATTATATCTAACATAAAACTGTGATTATGAAAAGATTATATCAAATACAAAATCGTGATTATAAGAGGATTATATCTAACATAAAACTGTGATTATGAAAAGATTATATCAAATACAAAATCGTGATTATAAGAGGATTATATCTAACATAAAACTGTGATTATGAAAAGATTATATCAAACACAAAACTGTGATTATAAGAAGATTATATCAAACACAAAACTGTGATTATAAGAAGTATAAGTACAAGACAGTAGACCGTCCCTGGCTGGGTATTGTGCTGACCACATTTCCCTTCAAATGCCAAGGTCACAGAAACAAGTGAACTCTACTTCACTTGCTCTATAAATCGTCAAGTTTAAAAGGGGACTTTTACTACTTTCATGCCAAACATAAAACTGTGATTATAAGGGAATTATATATAATATTATATATTATACAAATCCGTGATTATAAGAGGATTATGAATGAATGAATGAATGAACGAATGAACTAATGAATGAACGAATGAACTAATGAATGAACTAATGAATGAATGAATGAATGAATGAATGAATGAATGAATGAATGAATGAATGAATGAATGAATGAATGAATGAATGAATGAATGAATGAATGAATGAATGAATGAATGAATGAATGAATGAATGAATGAATGAATGAATGAATGAATGAATGAATGAATGAACGAATGAACGAATGAACGAATGAACGAATGAAAGAATGAACGAATGAACGAATGAACGAATGAACGAATGAACGGATGAACGGATGAACGGATGAACGGATGAACGGATGAACGGATGAACGGATGAACGGATGAACGGATGAACGGATGAACGAATGAACGAATGAACGAATGAACGAATGAATGAATGAATGAATGAATGAATGAATGAATGAATGAATGATTGAATGATTGAAGTTTATTTCACAAAAACTTGAGTCACACTTACCTAAGTCATCGGCCACAATGAACACAATATGAGGTGGTGTGTGGGTTTTCAACGTCACACACTTCTGCAACCACACAACAACAGAGAGGAACAGCATCCACGTTTTTCTATACACCATATTGGTTTCTAGCGTTCAACGCTAATTTATATATATACTAAGTACGCTAAGAAAATTGCTGATCGCAAATTTTTCTTTTGTTTACGTTCGTATAAGCAGATCCATTTATTCTAATTATCATAATTAAGTTAATCAGATTGTGTACATCATTAAGCTGATAACAGATGAACTAAAAGAACTAAAGATAAAACGAACAAATTTAAAATGTACATGATATATCCAATTCAAGGGACATTAACCTCAACAAAATGCCACAATGTTAGGCTTATCTCCCTTTCCTTAATTTACAAAGGAATTATTTATTCTAAAATAAAATTATAAATTTCTAGACTTAAATAATGAATATGACAGGAGAATATGTTGGCACAATAAATTATTTTCCATTATGAATTTTAACAATAAATTTTAAACCTCACTGAAATCAAATAATTAAGCAATATTTCAACTCACTGAAATTAAAAATTAAAACTAGTGTCTACCATAAAATTAGAAATTTAAACACCTCCCTACAATCTCACTGTAAAAAAAAACATTTTGTCGATTTTAAATCCCGATGCAGAATTCAAACAAACTATCAATACATTATCAATAAATACTAACAAACAACATCACACCGCGGTGTACGAAATATCTCCTGATATGAAATATGTAGCGCTTTAAGATTTAAATCACATCAGGAAAACACATTAAATATGTAGCACTTTAAAACTGAAATCACATCAGGAAAACACGTTAAATATGTAGCACTTTAAATCTGAAATCACATCACTAGAGCTCTTGAAATATTTAGTAAAAAAAAAAAACACTAAAAATGACAACCGGAAAACTCTAGAGGCTGCAGTTGCCACTTTGACCTCGCACATTTTAAACCCTGGCCACCAAACCTGGCCTGGATACCGTGGGTCACTTAGATGAAAACAATTCGGTCAGTTCACCCTATCTCCCCACTTGATGCAGTGAAAGTGATAGTAGGTCACCTGATAACAAGATGAACAAAGTATACCTGTGTGTCAATTAGTGGGATAAGTGGGATGGCTGGTATATTATCTATAGCTAAGGCGTTAGTTAAAGCTGGAGCTATAATTATGGCTGTAGTTTAAGGCATTAGGTTTATCTATACTTATGGCTGCAGTTAAGGCATTAGTTGAAGCTATACTTATGGCTGTAGTTTAAGGCATTAGTTGAAGCTATACTTAGTTAATAAACTAGTTATAATTACGGCTGTAGTTAAGACATTGGGACAGGGTGGCCTAGCGGTAGAGAGCTTGATTGCTAACCCGTAAATCTCGAGTTCGAATCCGGTTTCAAATTACTTGACCGTCCTTGAGTCAACACAGCTCTGATGGGTACCTAACTTACTTTAGGAAAAGCAAAGGCGGCTGGGCGTAGTACTGACCACACCATGCCTTCATATGCCGAGGTCACAGAAATAGATGAACTCTACTTCACTTGCCCGTCAGGTTTGGAAAGGGAACTTTACTTTAGTTAAGATATTAGCTGAAAATATCATTATAGCAGTAGTTAAAACTAATAGTTTAGATTCTAATTCAAGCTCTTAAAATGGTTCTGTTATTTAATCTTTAAGTAAGATCATCGTCTTCTTCGTTCTTAATTTTTAGTGTTGGGAGGGATCGAGCCTCATCTGTCAGAGGGTTTGAACTGGAGACTTTTTTCGAATTTATCAACCATGAGCTTTGCCGCCTCGACCATGCTTCCATCACAATTGAGGATTACGTGACAACTGGTTATGCGGCATTGAGGCCATTGACTCCGATTTTAGCCTGCTTTTCTTTTTGGATTTGCTTCCATAGCCTTTGCCCAACCAAGAACAAACTACAAGGCAGCAGTTGTTTGATTTTGGAGTTGTCTCTCCTAGAAGAGTGGCTGTCCCCAGCTAACGAGCCTCATCTGCCCGATGGTTCGAACTCGAGACTTTTCGGATTAGCAACCATGAGCTTTACCGAATCGACCACGCCGACCACTAATGTCTAGAAAAATAGAAAAAAAAATTGCTCAGACATGAATTTTACAAGAACGCAAAAATTGTGTATGATAGGACTTAAAGACTATTATTCATAGGAAGAACTTTGGTAGGAAATAAGGAAATTGTTAGAAAATATGAAGGACTTTGGCAGGCGTTGAAAACTTCTGAAGGACTTGGCTAGGTTATGAGTAAATCTGATGAAACACAGAAAGGATTTTGGCGGTTGCAGAAATTATTATAGTAAGTGTAACTAAATTTTACATGCTAGGATTAAAATAGATACGTAAGGCGGTTTTTTTCATTGTTTATAAGTACAGCATTAATTAAGTTAATTACGTAACTTAGTTTCCGGCCCAACCTACACCATATCAAATCGTCTAGTTCAGTTTCCGGTGACCTAGACACATCCGTGTTGTTTATATGTGTGTATTCAAGGACCAGCTGGGTGTGTTATATGGGAGATAACAATGACAAACGCTGATCTTCTTCAACTGATAACTGCTGTACCACATTGGTGTTCTACTTACCTCGTATACGTGATTTACCATTTAGTGTCATACTTGCCTCGTATATTTAGCCGCAACATATTGGTGTCATACTTACCGTGTATACATCCACACCATTCCGGTGTCATATTTACCTCGTATTTTTGCTATAACATGTCGATGTCATACCTACCCATATAAACGCAGTTTCGTGTCGGTGTCATACCTGCCTTGTATATTTTGCCGCAACATCTTGGTGTCATACTTGCCTTGTATACTTTTCACGCTTTCCCCCGTGTCACACTTACCTCGCAAACGCGCTGCACCATTCGGTGACATACTTACTTCGTGGCCGTGATGTAACATATTGAAGTCATACTTACCTCGTATCTGTGATGTAACATGTTGGTTTCATACTTTTCTCGTATACGTGTTGTACGAAATTCTTGTTCTATTTACCTCGTGTTCGCGCTATAACATTTAGTGTCATACTTACCTCGTATAATTGCTGCAACATTTTGGTGTCATACTTACCTCGTATAGTTGCTGCAACATGTTGGTGTCATACTTACCTCGTTTTAACGCAGTTTCATGTTGGTGTCATACTGGGGGGGGGGGGGGTTAGGTCCGCACCGGCTTCGCTAACTAAAGGGGTGGTACCAGCACAAAAAGTTGTCAAATTTACAGGTAAAACAATGTTTTCTCTCCTTATAATAATAATATAGTAGGGGAGAGGGGTGACACCAAACCGTAAATGAAAAAAAAATGTGTAGGGGTTGCGGTAGGGTGACACTCTTATTTTCAGCACCGACGACACCGACCCAGTGACTCCTGTCTTTAGCAGAAAATATCAATTGTGTCATGTAGCAACAGCAACTTGCCAATTTATGTGACTTTGACATATGAGAAGATGAAATTACGTGTACTGCGTAGCCCTATAAACATAATAAAACAAGAATTATTGTTTTTTAATTTACCTTCTTGTCCAGATGTAAAATTTAAAATTTTACTTTTTTAAAAACATGACACTAAAGATATTTGTTAAAGGATCCTCAAGCGTAGGTTTAACATTAAAAGAAAGAGGATTGTTTGTAGCGGATGAATCTGATATCGACATGAAATTAATTACCAATGGCTTTCTATTCAAGGGAAGTAACTTTCAGTTGAATTGAAAAAATAACAAAAAAGAACAAATACGAGTATAAAAAAATATAATACAACGGCGTAAATGTAATTATACAAATTATTTAATTAAACTCTTATAGCAGTTATCAAAGCGTTTCAAAACAATAATGTTTACATTTAAACTACTGAAAAAGATTAAAAGATTAAAACATAAAAACATTAACATTATTTTAAATCTAACTTATACAAGTAAAACCATTTTTATCTATAAATATTGCAAATTACAATCCCAAATCTCACATTTTTGGCTCCCTAAATTTGAGGGACATCTTATTAAATAATTAGAGGCTGATTTGTTTGTACTTGACCTAAAGTCACATTTGGATCCAGCGAGACCGTAGGACGTCCAAGAGTTTACCTGGCAGTGAGAATCACCTGAATCCGGTCTGGAAAGCAGAGACTAATCTATTACACCACGCCAGGGTGACATAAATTGGTCCACTTACGCGTCATTTTCACCATGAACGTTTAAATTCAAACGGGCAGCTGGTTAAGGACACATCCATTGGGCAGATGAAGTAGAGTTCACCTGTTTCTGTGACCTCGGAATATAAAGGGATAATATGGTCAGCACTATGCCCAGCCGCCTTTACTTTCCCTAACGTGTGTTAGGTACCCATCAGAGTTGGGTGGACTCAGAGACGCTCCACTAACTTGAACCCGGATTCGAACTCGAAACTATCGGGTTAGCAGTCCAGCGCTCCACCGCTGGTGCACACCGTTCCAGTGTGAATGATCACAGAATGCAATATTAGTTTGAAGAACCACTGTTATACCATTTTTAGTTATGTACTTTGTATTACGCTTCATACATATCGACTTTTATGTTTGTCTAAACAATCAATCACGTTAAAAATAAAACTCACTTAGTGTATTAATGTTCTTATCAGTGTGGCAAGTATTTTAATTCAGTCCTCCGCCAATAACGGACATGATATGCTCAGCCTGAAAAACCAAGTTAGCATGATTTTTCAGGCTGAATTCTGGGAACACTGCTATATTTGTCACAATTCTTGGAAACACTGCCATATTTGTCACAATTCTTGGGAACACTGCTATATTTGTCACAATTCTTGGAAACACTGCCATATTTGTCACAATTCTTGGGAACACTGCTATATTTGTCACAATTCTTGGAAACACTGCCATATTTGTCACAATTCTTGGGAACACTGCTATATTTGTCACAATTCTTGGGAACACTGCAATATTTGTCACAATTCTTGGGAACACTGCTATATTTGTCAAAGTTCTTGTGAACACTGCTATATTTGTCACAATTCTTGGGAACACTGCTATATTTGTCACAATTCTTGGGAACACTGCTATATGTGTAACAATTCTTGGGAACACTGCTATATTTGTCAAAGTTCTTGTGAACACTGCTATATTTGTCACAATTCTTGGGAACACTGCTATATTTGTCACAATTCTTGGGAACACTGCTATATTTGTCACAATTCTTGGGAACACTGCTATATTTGTCACAATTCTTGGGAAAAATGCCATATTTGTCACAATTCTTGGGAACACTGCTATATTTGTCACAATTCTTGGGACCACTACTATATTTGTCACAATTCTTGGGAACACAGCTATATTTGTCACAATCCTTGGGAACACTGCCATATTTGTCACAATTCTTCTGAACACTGCCATATTTGTCACAATTCTTGGGAACATTGCCATATTTGTCACAATTCTTGGGAACACTGCTGTATTTGTCACAATTCTTGGGAACACTGTCATATTTGTCACAATTCTTAGGAACACTGTAATATTTGTCACAATTCTTGGGAACACTGCTATATTTGTCACAATTCTTGGGAACACTGCTATATGTGTAACAATTCTTGGGAACACTGCCATATTTGTCACAATTCTTGGGACCACTACTATATTTGTCACAATTCTTGGGAACACTGCTATATTTGTCAAAGTTCTTGTGAACACTGCTATATTTGTCACAATTCTTGGGAACACTGCTATATTTGTCACAATTCTTGGGAACACTGCTATATTTGTCACAATTCTTGGGAACACTGCTATATTTGTCACAATTCTTGGGAACACTGCTATATTTGTCACAATTCTTGGGACCACTACTATATTTGTCACAATTCTTGGGAACACTGCTATATTTGTCACAATCCTTGGGAACACTGCCATATTTGTCACAATTCTTCTGAACACTGCCATATTTGTCACAATTCTTGGGAACATTGCCATATTTGTCACAATTCTTGGGAACACTGCTGTATTTGTCACAATTCTTGGGAACACTGTCATATTTGTCACAATTCTTAGGAACACTGTAATATTTGTCACAATTCTTGGGAACACTGCCATATTTGTCACAATTCTTGGGAACACTGCTATATTTGTCACAATGTTTGGGAACACTGCCATATTTGTCACAATTCTTGGGAACACTGCTATATTTGTCACAATGTTTGGGAACACTGCCATATTTGTCACAATTCTTGGGAACACTGCTATATTTGTCACAATTCTTGGGAACACTGCTATATTTGTCACAATTCTTGGGAACACTGCTATATTTGTCACAATTCTTGGGAACACTGCTATATTTGTCACAATTCTTGGGACCACTACTATATTTGTCACAATTCTTGGGAACACTGCTATATTTGTCACAATCCTTGGGAACACTGCCATATTTGTCACAATTCTTCTGAACACTGCCATATTTGTCACAATTCTTGGGAACATTGCCATATTTGTCACAATTCTTGGGAACACTGCTGTATTTGTCACAATTCTTGGGAACACTGTCATATTTGTCACAATTCTTAGGAACACTGTAATATTTGTCACAATTCTTGGGAACACTGCTATATTTGTCACAATGTTTGGGAACACTGCCATATTTGTCACAATTCTTGGGAACACTGCTATATTTGTCACAATGTTTGGGAACACTGCTATATTTGTCACAATTCTTGTGAACACTGCCATATTTGTCACAATTCTTGGGAGCACTGCCATATTCGTCACAATTCTTGGGAACACTGTCATATTTGTCAAAGTTCTCTTCATGTTGGGCTCTCTTTAGACCTCCCAAGGTGAGTTCCAGAACTAAATCTACCTGTTTTAAGGCTGACTTTATTCAAAATTGTACAATTATTGTTTTATTATGTAAACTTTTTTTTAAATAGTGTCTAAATGTTATTGATGTTATTTTATATTAATCGTTTAGGAGATATTAATACAAACTTAAAAGAACACTTATATTTTTGAGATCATTAATTTGAAACTAAGACGATTTTAAACCCACTTGTCACAATAATGTTGTCCGGTTATATTAAATATTCAAATCTACAATGTCTACTGATGGATTTAGTCTTCACCTTGATAATACTAATAGAACATAACATAATTTAATGTATTTATCAATCCTTCTCCATTTTTTTTAAATATCAATTTATTGGTGAAGCCCTATTTTAAAATATAAATTTAACATTATAAATGTGGGGTCAATCTTAGGTGAAGGAATGTGTTATGAACAAATATCTCCCATATCAAAATCTTACAATGCAAAAAAAAAAAAAAAAAAAATTCAAGGGAGATAACTTACTTATTAATAGCTAAAATAATGAAACACAAGTAACACATGCATCAAAACAACATAAATACGCGCTAAATGTTATTTTATGATATCAATAACTTATTGTTTAAAATAATAATGTTCTAAAATAATTAATTTAGCTTATTAAATACTCAACAGCGAATGTTTGAAAGTATCAACACATGAGTTTTCATAGAATATACTTTTAGACAATTAAGTTTACTTGCGTACGATTTTAATGTTCTGACAACCTGTAAAGTTATTTCTGGATCCCAAATAATTAAGGGACATATTTGAACGTCGTTTCTATTTCTGTCCATGGGGCTCTAAAATGTGAACTTTTGACTCCTCAGCTAAGGACAAAGCACAGTAAACTAAGCAGTCAAGAGAAACCTAGTTTGCACACCTTATTTTAGGCTAGTTCTTATGCCATTTTATTTTATCCATTTGATTAAAATATATGCAATTGATGTTCATGTCTTTGATGCTGTGTAAAATCTATCAAATAAATAATTATTACTGATTTAAATGTTTAAAACAATTGAATTAATAAAAAATAAAAAGGAAAAAAAAAACTAATTGAGGACTGCATAGATATAGATGTTTGAAAGGGAAGAGTGTTTGCTTTTACGTGTCTCATTGTAATAACATTGCTTTTCCGATTGCTTAAAATTTGTATCATTTTAATTCTCTGTAATCCCAAATTCATTTCAGCTCTACTTTAAAAAAAAAAAACAAATTCCCCCTTCCCCCCCCCCCCCCCCCCCCCTCGTCCCCTCAGCCCACCACGCCGAGAAAAAAAAATCCCTTGAATCATCATTTAATTACACATTTGCATTTTCAGTTTCAGGTTGGTTTTTAATTTTTATTTTTTCTTTATATTTTGACGTTTTGAATTAGATCTATGTATAAGTAAACCATCTTAAATGAATGAAAGCAGGCTACAAGTAAGAAAGAAATATTACTATTGTAAATCTGTATCAGTCCTCACAAGCCGATGATGAAAACTGTAATACTAAAGCGAACACACAACTGACGCTATAAATTACGTGTCTGAGGCACAAAAAAAAAAAATTGAACTTTATCTCCCCAACATCCATATTCCTCGCGCGCACGACTGTTATTTCAGGGTATAACAAGGGCCTAGGGAATAAATAAACGAACAGTGCCAGATCACTCATCAAGTGATGCAGTTGAAGAAGCGGAAGATCATGCCGAAGAAACAGGGAAAGGAGGTGATAGCCAGGCCATAGCACATCTGTTGAAGGAAAACCTTGGTGTCAGCACGTCAAGCTACGCTGGGTTCTATTGTTGGTTCTTCGTCTGGTTATATTTAGAGGTAAGAAGACTTTTATTTTTTTATTTCATAATACTCTATTACAGTGGCGTAGCTAGGTCGGGTGTCACCCGGTGCGGCACTTCGCGTTGTCACCCCCCCCCCCAAATAAATAAAGTGTATGTACACACACACACACACACACATATATATATATATATATATATATATATATATATATATATATATATATATATATATATATATATATATATATTTGTATGTGTGTGTGTGTGTCGGCCTACATAAGCCTATAATTTATATATATGCCACATACGCGTACATATATGTGTATAAGCTTTAATCACTTCAGAATTAAGAGTAACTATGTTTATCTACAGTCTGTTATTAATACAGTTGGATGTAGCATTGTTTTTTCTATAGTTTGCTTCGTCATAGGGTCACCCCCACTCTGTTGTAATAATTGTCAATTTGTACGTAAAAGACTATTTAACTTTAACGAGCCGACCCGCTGCGTATCATACGCCGCTATTTAGTTGTTTTATTTTTTCTACTTTTCAGTAATTTATAATTTGTAAATTCGACAGTACCAATGCTGCCACTGAAAATATTTGCTTAAAAACACTAACCCCCCCCCCCCCCCCAACGTGAAAGCAGCCTCCTCTTAGTTACCTCCTCTAAGTTTAAAATCGTTTCAAACTAAATTATCTGCCCCTAATAGCCGTCACTAAACCCAGCTCTATGATTGTAAAATGTAAACAGCGTGACCACAACTCACCAGACAATGTGGGGGTGGGGTGGGGGTGGTAGTGATAGTGAAAGAGAGAAAGAGAGGGGACTGCAAGGAGGCGCTTGCAGCTTGTTTTCTAACGGCTCCCAGAAGAGAATTATATATATAGATTATCATTAATGTTACTGGCAAAAAGGCATTTTTCTTCTGTATATTTTGCATTTTTTGCCTTGGTATCACCCCCCCCCCCCTAAATGTTGTCACCCGGTGCGGTCCGTACCCCCCGTCCCGTCCTCGCTACGTCTCTGCTCTATTACACTTGATTGAAAATATCCCAAGGAAATCAAACGACGTATCACGGCTCTAACAAAAAAACTACAGAATGAGGTTCTTAATGTTGAAGCTGAATTTTATAAAGGTCAATGCCTTGAAATTGAAACATGCACTAAAGCAACAACAGTTGTTTGAAAAGAGAAAAGAAATCTTGACTGCTTGTAGAAAGTCCACTGATGTGGAATGCGATTGGCCCAGTGAGGAAGAAGAAGATGATGCAAAGGATAAGGAAGGAAAAATAATTTTATTATCAGGGGGGATGTTAAAGGTGTTCCCAGTTTTTGGTTGACAATATTCAAGAATGTAGATATGCTTTCTTAAATGGTACAGGAACATGATGAACCAATTTTGACACACTTACAAGATATTACACTTATTATACATGATAAAGACCCTGTAGGTTTCACATTAGAATTTCATTTTGAGCCCAATGAATACTTAACAGACCCAGTACTAATTAAACATTATGAAATGCGCTATGAACCAGACATCAATACCCATTATCCTATGAGGGTCCAGAAACGGGGTCGAATATTAACCGAATCAAAGGGGAAAACGTCACTCTGAAACAGATAAAAAAAAAGAAACAAAAACATAAAGGAAGAGGTTTAACAAGAACTGTTACAAAACAAGTTCAAGCAGATTCTTTCTTTAATTTCTTTAACCCACCTGCAGTTCCTGAAGGTTCAGTCAGAGATGGATGAAGAAGTAGAGGCCTTATTGGGTGCTGATTTTCAGATGAGACATATTATAAGAGAGAGGATAGTGCCTTGGACAGTTCTTTTTTTTTTCTCTGGAGAGGCCATAGATAATGATGATTATGGGGATGATGAAAATGAGGAGGGTGAAGATGAAGAATATGACGAAGAAACAGATGCAGATTTCAACCTAGAGGCTCAAGCCAAACCTAATGAATGCAAACAGCAATAGCACAGTTAATGAATGGGCTACTAGTTTTAAGAAAATTCTGATTCTCAACCAACACAAACTTCACAATTACTTCAGACATAAAAGATGTCCAATGACTTGCTCCACTTTTTGTTTACTTCCAGATGAAATCTTTAAATTTACATTAAAAAAACGAAGGGACACATAGTTGTTTTAAATTATAAAAAGTAAAAGGACATCATTAAAGGGCATTACATTTTTAATCAAACCAAGACTTGAAGATACGATAACAGAGAGAAAACTATCACTGAATAAATTAATGTATAAAAATGTTTTCTCTTCAATGCATAAAGGATACAACAATCATTTTAAAGTAACCATAAGACCATTTTTAAAGTGTTTTTTGTGTACAATTTCTACAATAACAAAATGCAAGTTACCGTCAATAGTACAGGTCTCCACAGCTTTACCCGACCACCTCATTATAAACAAATCTTTATCAAGGCCATCATTCCCCTAAATAAACTATGGCAGAGCCAATATCTGGTTCCTTACCTCCCTTGATGTTACCACTCCACACCAATGAATACATTTTCAACTTCCGAAGCTATGACACTAATATATATATATTGAATTTATATAGAAAATATATACTTT